GCTTCACTGAGTTACGCAAGCCCCTTCGCCACGACAAGGCAGTGATCCATGAAGGGGGAGTCAGAAGTGCTGGTATATAATTGTTAATATAAAATTTAATGTAATTTTATATTATTGTATTATTATACATTCATTCATTCATTCATTCATTCATTCATTCATTCATTCATTCATTACATCTCACTTTTTCCAAGCAACTCTGGGCAGTGTACAACAGGATTAAAAACAATAAATACACTAAAAAAGTATAAATTTTTTTTAAAAATTAAAACAAAAAATAATAAGCGAGGAGCTGTTAAAAATAATGGAGCCACCTCACAAGATCACCCACCCCCTGGGGTCTCTAGGCCTGCTGGCACAACCAGGTCTTGAGAGACCTCCAGAAGCCCAATAGTGATGAGGCCAACCTCACCTTAGGGGGAAGAAGATTCCATAGCGCAGGCACCATAGCAGAAAAGGCCCGTCACCTATATCCTGCCAAATGTAGCTCCCTAGTCATTGGAACCTGTTACATACCCTCTGTGCTGGATCTGGTAGGATGGGCAGATGAAATTGGGGAGAGGAAGTCCCTCAAGTAACCTGGACCAATGCCATGAAGTGCTTTAAAGGTCAACACCAGCACCTTGAATTGGACTTGGAAACAAACTGGTAACCAATGCAGCTTGTGAAGCAAAGGTATAACGTATGTTCTACCAGAAGCACACATAATTGCTCGCCTTGCTGTATTTTGCACCAGCTGAAGTTTCCGGATACTCTTCAAGGGCAGCCCCATATAGAGCGCATTGCAGTAGTCTAACTGGGAGGTGACCAAGGCATGAGTGACTGTGAGAAGGTCCCCCTGATCCAGGAATGGGTGCAACTGGTGCACAATACGAAGTTGTGCAAAGGCCCTCCTAGCCACAACTGCCACCTGCTCATCAAGCAGGGTCTGTTTGGGGCAGTATGACCCCAACTAGTACCAAAGATGGTAAAGTCCTAGAATGAGAGGGGCTCAAACCAAAGCCACTCAGTCTTTCCAGGGTTCAGTTGAAGTCTGTTGTTCCCCATCCAGACTCTCACAGCCTCCAGACACCAGGATAGGATATCCACAGCATCGGTTAAGTCACTAGGGGCGGAGATGTACAATTGAGTATCATCAGTATACTGATGATACCTCACCCCATGGCGATGGATGAGCTCACCCAGTAGTCTTGTGTAGATGTTAAATAGCAGAGGAGAGAACACTGATCCCTGTGGCGTCCCACATAGTAGGGGCCGAGAGCGGGATCTCTCCTTCCTAATCACCACTGACTAGAACTGACCCTGTAGAAAGGAGGTGAAACCAGCATAACACAGTGCCGCCATTCTGTATTTATTACTGCACTGGTTTGTAAATGGTGCAACACTGTGCCGTTTATGTATCTATTACTGACTGGTTTGCTACTGTTGCTCTTTGTGCACCACCTAGAGTCTTTTAGGATTGAGGCAGTTTAAATGTTTTATAAAGACATAAAATAATAAAATGAATGTCTACCATGACCACTACATCCAGGTAGGATAAGAAAAAGTAGTTATACTAAAAAGAAAGCCAACGCTCATGTAAGCATCCAGTGTTACCATCCATGAACAATAAGAGAAAAAGGCTTTAATTCCTTTATTGTCCTTCTTTTCAAGCTGAGTAATTACACAAGCATTATATAAGCAATACAATACTTGCTTAATGGTGGTGATTGGGACCAGCAACTCTTTGCTAAGTGACGTAGTCATAAAGCAAAAAATCACATGACTGTGCTGACTTATGACAGCAGTTATGGCAGTTCCAGCTGCCCTTGTTAGGCAAATCCCATGTAGTTGTTAGGCACGACATCACGTGATGATCATTTGTGACCTCCTGCTGGTTTCCCCATTGACTTTGCTTGTCGGAAGCTGGCAGTGAAGGTCACAAATGACAATCACCACAGAATGCTGCAACCATCGTAATTGCAAGCCATTTGTCAAGCACCTGAATTGCAATCATGTGACTGCAGGGACACTGCAACGGCTGCAACTATGAGGACCAGTCATAAGTCCCCTTGTTCATTGCTATAGTTTGAAGTTAACTTTGAATGCTTGCTGAATGAGAGGCTGCTGAATATGCTGTAATAGCATATGAATCCCTGTTGTGTGCGTTCAGCAGTCCATTTACTTTAAAAGCAAATAAATATTTGGCTCTTAAAATTCCAGTGTATGTGGTACAATGTCCTATTTTTTCTATTGCACAGCGATCTACATGTCATGTAGTCTAGAATTCCCTCAGGATGCTTCTATCAGGAATAGAATGGACATCTTTCTCATCCTCCACCTTTGGCATCCACATGTATGTATGTATCGTACAGGAAGAGTTGTTAGCAGAACCCTGAGCTGAATCATTGTGAGGAAGGTTGGCTAGGCTTCCTTCCTTTCCCAGTGACAAGCTTCAAGTTGCTAGATTTCTGCAATAGATTCCTTTAGCTTATTGCTTTCTTCTCCCAAGCTCCAGAGGAAGGGGAGGGCCAAGGAGAGAAATGAGTGAAACTTATATCTGTGTATTTGTGAATGTATGTGTGTATACATCAGTGTTTCTCAACTTCAGCCACTTTAAGATGGTTGGGGGAATTCTGGTTGGGGGAATTCTGGGAGTTGAAGTCCACCCATCTTAAAGTGGCTGAGATTGAGATACACTGGTATACATACTTATAATGTCACAACACAGCAGTGTGGTCCTTAGAGTTAAGAAGGTTGTCCATCTCTGCTCTAACATACTGGGGATGTAGAAACAGTTGCAAAACATTAACAGTAGTGATGGAAAGAAATTTTAGTTTTGTGTCATATTAATCACATTCAGCTAAGGGGGGGGCATAAGTTTTTTAAATCTGGGGTCTACTGCATCACTTCTGTCAATCCTCTCCCTTGATTCTACAGACCGACTAAAAACTACAGATGATCCTTGCTACTTATAAATAAGTTTGAAATGCCTTTTTAAGATTGTTAGACAATTTATAGAGTAAACTATCTGGTTTTTATTATTCTTAGTTACTTAAGGTTTTCTCTCTTCATCATGTACTGCATCTACTTCAGTCCATGAATCTGACTGAATATTTTTGGCTACTTAAGGATCATTCTGCTGCACACCAGATTGCATCTTCATAGAGAAAGCACTTACCCTGAAAATATCATCTTCAGAAGCAGCAGAAACAGCTTCTTTCATGGCCTTGTCTAATTCCTCTTCTGCTGTCAAGTCTCCAGATATTGCCCTTCGAATCTCTGGTCCAATATCATGTAATGTGCGCAGACCAGCCTAGAAAATATTATGTTTTAGCATACCAGTATATAAAAGAAATAAAACTGACCTTAAAATACAGTATTTATTGACTCTGGCTCTTAATAGCCACTAAATCTCAATGTAATTGGAAGTTGTAGTGCTGGCTATTTTGGGCACAAGTAATCACTTTGCTCATAAACATATTCGTGCTGAATGCTATTTCCCAGTTAACTGATTCATTTTGCAATTCTAAATTGACAAAAACCCTTTTGTAGTGCTTTGCAGCAATAGTTTCCCTGTATCTGAAATATGAAAAAAGCCATTAAGAAAAAATTGGATCACTTTCAATCCATCAGTGACAATGGGACTCAAAAGAATATCTCTTGTTCCCATGCAGTGAAGTTACTTGGTTCATTTTGAGTTTGTGTTCAGATATCCCAGTCATGATCCTACCTTGTTTGGATACAGTATAAATATATCCTTTATGTATGTATCGTACAGGAAGGGTAATTTTATCTTCACTGAAGTTTAGGGAAAACATGATGAAAGATACACTGAATACTTAGCTGACTAAATACACCTGCATAAACATTTCTTAAATTTCACCAGAATTTTTGTAAGATATTTGTGATAGATCCCTGAGATGCTATTTGATAAAAGAATATGTCTTCAAACTTCACTTGGTCATAATTCTGCTGTACATATTTGGTCCAAATACATTAATTTAGAAGTAAGATACCTTGATAACAAACATATTTATTTCCAACCAGTTGTTCTTACATATGAAAATACCATTTTAACCAAATAGCCCAGTTTATAATTAATTCTAGTAACTAAGAAAAATACTCAGTATTCCCATTAGTTATAAAATAAAGATGTCACTGCAGCATGGTAATTCTAAAATAGACAGCTAAACAGAAGAATGCATCAAGATTTCAGGAACTGCCCCCCCAAAAAACTCATAAAAATTAAATCTGATGGATCCCTACATAATAAAAAAGGTATGTTAATAACTGGTATAGCCATACCCTGATTATTGTCAAGATGATGATTTGATTAGATTAAATAAAAATGCTTTTAAAATTGGGGCTGGGAATCAGCAACTTGAGTTCGTAACATCAAAACTAACTAAATTCATATCTTATAAGAGATGTTTCTCACAGTTAGAAAGTATCTGGTGTAGATTTTTGGTAGGAAGGATAATGAAACTGCTGAGCAGATGGTTTGCATCAGTGTTACAATACTAAGCAATATACAGAACATCCACTTTTGGCTTTCATTTCTGTAAACCTCATGCTGTGTATTCATTACTTACCTGTAGAGAAAGAGCATTACGTTGTGAAGGTTTGCCCACGAGACCCTGTTCTTTGCGTTTTTTGAATTTCCGGAAATACTCTTGAATCAGGAACGTGGCGTAGAATTTTCCAACTGTGACTTCATCATCTAGATGGCCCCCATTTTGAAAAAAACAAGTAAGAAGCTAAAAACAAGTGACAGATTTTTTGCTTTTATAATTTACTAACAAATTATTATTTAAAGGTGATAGTGTCCACCCATTTTACAAAATTGGTCTCCCACCCTGTATTCAAGGATCGCAGAGTGTGTTACAGATTGGAATTGGTATTAAATAAGAGTATTGAAAGAAAGGTGGACTCACCACCTGCTGGGGGTACAACCTGATCCAACAGCTTCATGCTAGTGCGCTTCCAGATTTTCTTAATGATTGCACGTAACTCTTCATTGGCTTGTTCCAAGTTACCTTTAAGAAGAAATATTAGTAAAAAAAAAAAAAGCCAGTTCTTGTATGGAACAGTAATTTATTTAGTCCACAGAGCCATTTAAAAATATGCAGACATCTTAAAATAGGATTCTCAGTAACTCTGATCCTATTAAAGCCAATTAAATGAAAAAAAATACAAACTCTGTCTTTTGGTATATTATGACCTGTGAAGCATAGTGATAGATGAGCTTTTGAGGCTGAAGGATGAAGCCAAGCTTAACTTAATAATATTGCATAGGTAGAATGATGTCCAAGGAAGTAAAAATGTAAAAATTCCATTGAACAGAAGAAAGTTTCATAAGTAGTGAAAACATTTTAGGAACTAGTTAAATGTGTTTTTTAAAAGGTTTCTCTTCAGCTCTAGCTATTTTTGATAGCTAGAGGTTAGAGCTGCTTCAGGGGACAAAACTGTAGTTATATATGAAATCTGAGTGGATCATAATTCATATTGCACCTACTCAAGAAACTGTTAATTCACCAAATATCTAGCTATAGTATTTTATATTATAACCTTAGTTTTATCACATTACAGTACAACAACTGAAATTTAGTTGATAATGGTTTGATAAATGCAACTTAAAGTATGAGTCCAAGTCAGTATTGACACAGTCTACATATTCTACATATTAACACAGAAATGAAAACCTGCCTCAGAAAAAGTTAATTAAGCTCTGTCAGACACATCTGTTCCTTTTGAGAAGAGATTGTACATTGTCTGCTGCTGACTGTATGGCTGACAAATTTATTATTTATTGCTGTATTGTATTTTTTTTATTTTTAACCGTTTTACTGTTCTGGAGTTGTAAGCTGCTCAGAGTTGCTTTGGATGGAGCAGCATATAACCCTCAGTAAATACATAAGATTTTGTGTGATTCACTCTAGGTTAATTTAGTTTTGCATGTTTTGTGTAGATAACAATTAAAATAACAAACACAAATGCCAGTAAAACCAACTGTTTAAAGTATAAACATTATAGCAAGAATTGGCAGCCCTTAGGCTTCTTTTATGCAAATCTTGAAGTTTTTCAAGATCACAAACTACCAAATAATGACGATGGAATTTTCTGCCATTTTGGTGGGAAATCAAGTTAAGTAGGTTCATTAAACTTTCAACAAGTTTAAAATGCCTAGAACATAGGGAGAAAATCCTACACTTATCCCTTTGATAATACTATATCACCCATATGTCCTCAATTGCTCTTGGCTTCTCAAATGAATTGATAAAAGAAAGGAAAAGAACCAGCTACTGGTGGCAACAGACTGTTTATCCATGCATTTTTTTCCCTAGCATTTTCCCCATAGGTACAAGGTCTGCTTTTTTTCTTTCTTTCTTTCTTTTTTTCAGAACAACCAAATTTTGATCCATTGGTTGTGACAGGAATTGACTGACCAGCTTGTTGCCCAAACCTGACATCTTGGGCTGGGAGAGAGTGACTGCTCCAAAATCATCCAGCTGGCTTTCATGTCTAAGGTGGGACTAGAACTCACAGTCTCCTGGTTTCTAACATGGAGCCTTAACCACTAGGCCAAACTGGCTCTTAGACTGAAAAGTCTATGTAGACCTTATTTATTCCACCACTAGATTATTAAATATAAAACATATTTTGGACAGTATTCGGATCCAGGCTCTAAGTGATTTAGAGAAGAATAAGAATTGGATAGCAAGAATCCAAGTTTGCTAATTGTTATATGGACAATATTTGAGGTTGTTCGCAGGAAATCTTAGATATCACAACAGAATATAAGGTATGAATGGGTTCAGCATTTCTGGTTTGAATACTAAAATATTTTTAGAATATTATGGGCTGAATATTAAAAAACACAGAATTCTACATTTTAAATTTAAAATGCAAACTGAATTTTTCAAAATCAGACTTTTCAGCTTAATGTTTTACCCTGATTTGTTTACAGAGTAAAATTTTAAAATTTAGTTCTAGGTTGTAAATAATTTTTAAAAAATACATTTTATATCAAACTAAAAAAAGAGAAAATATGTGGAAAAGTATATCTATACTATTATATTAATCATTATAATAGAAAATAAAATAAAAAAAGGAATGAGAAATTATGTTGTAAGTAGAACAACTCTCTGAAAATTACCATATTGTTTGAACATCTTTTTTCTTGTCTTTTCATTGAAAATCCTTACAGGTGGTCCTCAGTTAATGACCACTCATTCAGCGACTGTTCAAACTTAGAATGGTGTTGAACGAGTGGTACTTATAACTGGTCCTCAAAGTTACGACTACTGCAGCACCCCCGCAGTCACGTGATTGCAATCTGGGTGCTCAGCAACCAGCCTGGATTTCTGACCAATGCAGCATCCCACAGTCACACGATTGCTATTTGTGACCTTCCCTGCTGGCTTCCTACAAGCAAAGTCAATGGGGAAGCTGGCAGGAAGTCGGGAGTCCCTGTCACATTAGATCCTCACTTAATGACCTGGTTTGCTTAATGATGGTAACCAGGGACTGCCAGAACTGTAGTCACTAAGTTGCACGGTCACATGATGTCCTGACTTAAGAAACAAAATAAATTGCATTGGATGAAGAATTTCTAGCTTGATAATGGTAGTTGTGGGGGAAAAAAATTGGAATACTACATAGTCTATTGCAAACTGAATATAAGCTGACAGTGATGTGGCTGTAAAAAAAGGCAAATGAAGTTTTGGCCTGCAATAACAGAACTATAATATCTAAATCACTGGAAGTAATAATTCCACTTTATTCTGTTTTGGTCAGACTTCACTTGAAGTATGATGTTGAGTTTTGGGCACCCACACTTTAAGAAGGATTCAGAGAAATTGGAATAGGTTCAGAGAGCAGCAATGAGAATAATCAAGGGACTAGAAGTCTAATAAAGAGAATGGAAGAAGCTGAGTATGTTTAGTCTTGAGAAAACTCAGCTGAATGGGAATATGATAGCATTCTTCAAATAACTGAAAGGAAGTCACATAGAAGGGAACACAATAAGGGATTTAAGTTATAGGAAGGCAAATTCTGTTGATTTTCCTAAGAGCACAAGCTATTCAATTTTTTAGGAATACTTTAATTTGGATTTGTTGCTGAGCAGATAGTTGGACCCTCCCAAATTTATGCTTCTAAGATTTTATGGCATATGACATATGCTATAAGAAACTTATCAAGAATCCCATGTGTTTCTGCTGCATATTAAGTGTCTTCTTACCTTCTGTTTTGATTCTCAGTGCTGTTCTAACCAGTGCAAATAAGGTTGCATTAAACATAACAGTTCCGTCACTATTCAATGGCATATTCATAGAGACAAGGCGCTAAGGGGGAAGAAAAAGACAGAAACACAATATTGAATTATATAGCATGTACCACATCAATTCATATGCTGTTTTTTCAGCTTCATTTTTTATAGTAATTTTATTAAGAATTATAATTACAACAGTAAAAACTGAAACTGAAAAGAAATCTAAAAGAATAAAAAGAAAAAGTAGAAGGTGCAGAAAAAAAAGAAAAAAAGGAAAAAAGAGAAAGAAATAGAAAAGAAAGAAAAAATAAGTATATATTAAGAAAAAGAAAAGAAATATATGAAGAAGTGACTTTCCACCTTCATCACAAGTATAAACAATTTTAGTAACTTATCTCCTTCTCTTAAAATATAACAAATGATCTCTTCTTCCCATATCCCATCTCCTATCTATAAACAAATCCATAAAGCCTCATCATTTCAGTCCTGATGTCAGCAAGGTCTGCCTAGGTCTACTTAGTGGGGCTGACATCAGTCTTGCAATTCTGATTGCGCTGTACCCCTTCCCCCACTTTTAATACACCAATGAATCAGGAATGCGTAAAATATTCCAAATATTATCTTGTTTCTCAGGGCTTAAAAAATGTATCAGACCCCTTTTCCTAGGAAACAGTTCTTACATATTTCTGATTTCCATCAAGGTAATCTTGCTTACTCTCTATGCTTCTTCTAGGGAGCAGCTTTGTTCAGGGCACAACATAAAGGAATGTGCTGTGAAGTTTCTATCAGTATTATATTGGATGGCAGTTCCTATCAGCCCCAGTCAATATGGTCAGGGAGGATTGGTGTTGTCATACATCAGTATATAAGGAAAAGTTATGCGAAAGAGCAACAGGAAGGGAACAGAAACCTGTCATACCTTGCAAGCTACCCTGTGAGGACAGAGCTTTCCAAAACCCAGTGGAGGTTGTATCCGACGCAGGAGTGTTACAACATCTAGGTGTTTGATACGTCCCCTATAATAAAAAGTAAAAAAAAAAAAAAAGACTTGTTAGGCAACATTCAAGGGTATTGGTGGCTTCTTTGGAATTAGGTGACTGATTATACCAGTACCCTGGATGACCTCCCCCAGCAGTTTCATGTAGATGTTGAACAACAGGGGAGATAATAAGTAACCTTGTAAGAACCATACAGCATCTGCTTAGGTGTCAGTGTTTCAGCACCTCCTTTTGGACAGGAAGGACCAGAATCACTGCAAAAAAGTAATCCTGAGAGGGAATGAAGTTGAGGTTGCTGTCTGTATTTGGGAAAAGCAGCTGCAGCCAGGCAGAAATGCTTCCCGCCCCCACTTCCCCAAGGATAGGCTCAGCTTCTCCCTTCTCCCAGAGAGCAGTAAAAGTTTACAGCCCTAGAAACCTGAGAGGAGATGGGCTCATTCCTTCCTTCCTTCTCCCACTCACAGTTTACTCACAAGTATCCATGCCAGTTGTTGAGCCACACCCTCCTGAAACCCTGGTGTTTTCAGGAACATGCTGACTACATTGGCAGCCTCACCCCACCCAGGCCCTTAACTTACAATAGTGTGGGTGTGTAGGAGAAAAGGAGAAGAAGACAACAAATATATGAGGAAGCAGGAAGCAACATCTGGAATGTACAGCTATTACAGGTAAGCAAGACAGCTATCAGTCAACTGCCAGGACCATAAGCTTTGGTAAGCAGCCCATTGTGTTGGGATTCCTGCCTGGAGCTTGGCTTAGAGCTTGGCCCAAAGCTTGGTAGCAACCAGAAGAGGAGCAACCACACTGAGGCAGCATCTAATCCACAACAAGTGCAGGGACTTTTGGAGGGAGGCAAGTGTTGTATGCCACGTTACAAACTTTAAGATTTTTACTTGTTATAAGGACTAATCATTGAAGACTTATTTATGTGGCTACATCAACTTGCAAAGCCTAGGAGGATGGAGTTACCCAGGGCAACAGGAAAGGTATGTGCTACTATAAATAGTTTGTGCAGTTATCTTCTGAGCTGTGGTGTGTCCAGTTTTTGGAAAACAAAGAACCCTCACAAATCCCAAGGCCTGATTCCACCAGAAGGTCCATAGTTGGTGGTACTGAAACCCACTGAAAATCTAGGACAAGTAGCAGGGCTGCATTTTCCTCCAATTTCTGGCACAGGCAATTTACCAAGGAGACCAAAGGAGTTTCAGTACCCCCTCCCAGCCAAAAGCTCAATTGAAATTAATCCAGATAATTAGTATAATTTAGATGCATGCAGAGCTGTGAGGCCACCACCTAGGTGCCTAGGTGATCAACCAAGTGATTGATATAAGGGTGAGTGTGCTTAGGAAGCACAACATTAACGACCTTGATTATTTCTTTATCCCTATGTAATATTTCTGATACATAAGGTTAGAAACTCCCCAAGTGCACTCAATCATTTTAACTGGATCAGATTTCCACCTTTGTAGTGGTTTGTACTAGCCATTAGCCTGAACCTAATCAGAAAATGATCTGTCCATGAAAAAAGTCACACAGAGGTGACCTCCACTTTCAGGTCACCAGTTCCACCCAAACATAATACAAAATCCAGCATGTGCCCTGCTACGTGTATAAGGTTATCAGGTAACCAGTTATCATGGTTGTCATAGAAGACATGAAATCCTATGCAGCTCCTGAATGGAAACCTGAGTAAATGCTAGACTTTGTAAATAGAGTTATGCAGAGTTCTTTTCTTTAAATTGTGCAGCTGGGAACTTACTTGGCTTCAGGATCATATTCTGCCCAAATCCGTTTAAATTCATCCAGATGATGGGGACCCAGAATTGACCAATCACGTGTTAGGTAATCAAAATTATCCATGATAACAGCAACAAAAAGGTTAATTATCTGCAAATAAGCACAAAAATATTAATTCTCCTAAGAAAGTATTTCATGCCAGAATCATTTATATTTCAAATTCTTTTTCAAGCAAAGCAGTGTTGCTCTTGAAAAACACAAGTGAAGTATAATATGTAGACTTAAGATCAAAGGCTGCTAAAAGGGATTTCAGAATTTGCATATGGTTCAGGGATCACAAGTTCCCATCCCTGACATAACATAAGAAAAATTCTTTTTGGTAAAAAAAAATATATATATATTTTATATATAGTGATATATATATATCACTATGCAACTTTTATAGATTGCAAACATCTACTTACTAGGAAGGCACAAAGCATGTAGAAACTGATGAAATAAAATACAGCAAAGCTGCTCCCACAGAGATGTTCACCTTCGGTAAAACTGTTTGGTTCCAAGGAGTCAGGGTCACACTTCTTATCAGGTAGGCATGCCAGCATGATTTCCTGCCAAGCTTCACCAGTAGCACATCTGTTGAAAAGAGGATGGGGTGGGGAAGAAGGTGGTTTATCACTACTGGTCAGTAGTTTAAAAGTTAAGCACTCAGCAAATAACTCACCAGCTAATTGCATCTAGCTACATCACAGATCTACAGCATAGAGCAAGTCATACTTAATAAGCAGCCAGACTTCTGAGAAAACTTCTACCTGATATTTTTGGGTAGCTAGTCTACACAAAGCATTTTGAGATTTGGGAAGTATCAGATCTTGTAAAAGTATCTTGTAAAACAGGTATTAAATTCAGTGGAATTAAAAATTAAAGAGCAGGTACAATTTGGTTTTTGTTAGAAAAAGATTAAATCATTTTTCCAAGGTATGATTAAATCAAGTATGCATTGGGGTGAGCAACTTTCGTGACTGGGGGATTTTTTTATTTTTATTTTTTCGGTTTCCAGTGGCTATGGCACAGCAGTGTTGTCCTGCCATCATGAAAGTGGGCAGAGCCAATCTTCAGGCCTTACTGGAAGAGATTTTAAAAAGTTTTTAAGGTGAGTGTGCTGGTTTAGGCTTAGTAAGCCATTCCAAAGACTTAGTACACTTTCTTGGGTTCCTATTGGCAGTTAGTAGGAACACCATTTTTCAGTGAGACAATGCCATCCAGGGGACTTTGGAGGTTAGATGGGGGTTGCCTGCCCTGACACACTTTGTGTGAGACCTACCTGAAAAGCAGGAGCACAGCCTGAGGAAAAGTTTGAAAGTTGTTGTTCCGATTGATTTCTGTAGTATCATTTAGTGCAATTTTACCAAACACCTAATTTTTAAAAAAAAAAGTCGATTCAAGGTAATGTTGCATGCCACAAGATATTCTTATATCTGATAGTCTTAATATTCTTACTCTAATAACCTTATAAAATATAGTCATATCCTACATATTTGTGTGGTTCTGATATCTAAATTCAGTGTTTGACATCTTCCCACTGCACTAGGTGTAATTCTGACTGATGGTCTCCCCATATGTTAGACCATTTAAACTGGATTTAATCTTTTTACTTTGAATTTCGCTTTGAAGTTACGCAAGATCATTCCCTTTTTTAATTTGCTCAGTAAACACTTCACAGACTTTTCATTTTGCTTCATCTATACAATGGGTGCTTTCCTTTATATGTGCAAATGATATTAATAAAATAGCGAATTATTTTAAAAATGAGATACTAGAGATTTAATACAGGGCACAAGATTGTTTATTTATCATGTAAAATAAGAGGACTAATCTGTCTATCACATCATAAACCATTCTAAAACTGTTTAGGCAAGCTAAAAAAGCTGTGCTAAGAAATCCTTTTTTCCTTAAGTTAGCTGTAAGTACATTACTCTTTAAGACATTTGTGAGGAAGGTGTTATGTGAAGATTAATTTTCTCCATTTTGCCTTAAACAATTATTCTCAAGATTTTCAAGAATACTTCTGTAATTTTATCATGAAATTCATGAAGCTTAAAATTCTTATTTGTGTTCCAAATGAATTATTTCAATAAAATATAACAGTCACTCTTATCATACTTCTTTTGTTTTCCTTTATACCACCCAGAATCTTCTGATTGGAGCTTCAACAAATATGGTAAATAAATATTTTCAACAGTAAATATTTACAAAAGTAGTAAAACTGCTTTGATTTTTAAAATGAAAAGTGATATAGAAATGTTTTAAATAATAAGGGGTGCAATTTTCAGAGTATTGGGACTTAACAGTACTTAATACAACATGGATTAATACCTCAGTACCTAATGATTTGTATATAGGGAAAAATGTAAGTGAGTTAATAGGCAAAGATACAGCTCTGGTTTTGGCATAAGGTGAGCATCTTGGGTTCCTTTCTTTTTTTATATATATAATTTTTACTGAAAAATTTTCTGTAAGTAAAAGACAAATCTAAAGAAAAAATAAGGAGAGGAAAAAGAAAGGAAAGAGAAAGAAAAGAAAGAAAAGTGCAAAAAGCAAAAAAGAGAAAGATAACCAAAGAAACAAGAAT